AGCTGTTTAAAATGACTCTTCTAGAAACTAGATTGGTATCGATCAGTACATATGGTGTTAAAATGGCAAGGTGGTAATTATGTATGTTTCTATTATTGCTATTGCTGCTTTATTTAGAATGATTTTTATTTTTAGAAAAATACTGCAAAGGTATTTCTTAAATATTCAAGAATAAATGTAATTCACATATTAAGCATGATAATTTTCAGAATCTTAAAAAGGAAATACAAAATGTATGTATTTTATTAACTCATTGTAAAATGTTGCAAAAGAATGTTCAGACCTGCATGGGTCCAGGAATACAAGACAGAACTCTCTCTATGTTTTCTGAGGTCACAGCAACATCATTCACAGCAACAAGGACATCACCTAAAATTAGAATAATAAAAGATTGTTGTAGGAATATACAAACTCCAAAGAGATGAAACATTAAAAAGAATGTACTCTTACTTCATCAAAGTAGAGTAGAAAATGTGATAGATACAGGTACTTATCCAAGGCTGTTACCTTCGTGACACAGCTATGGCCACTGCACCCTGCCCTTCCCATTTTATAACACCGCCCCATAGAGCTATAAATGAACTACAACCCATGAACATGGCAAGAAATGAAAATTCTCATCTGTGATATGTTTAGGAGAGTTACGTAAGCTCAAGTAACAAAGTTTTAAGCATAAACCAAGTATTGTAGTTAATGAAACAGAAGCTAATCACTTAGACCCCCAGTAAAACAAAGCAAAAAAATCAGCTAAAATTCTAATTATGATCTAACTAGATCATAATTCAGTATCCTATGGTCTTATTGCTATTACTGATTTGTGTCTGTATGTATAGTTATTTGCTTCAAAGGTTAAAACCATATTAAAATATGCATCATATTTCAGAAAAAAAATCCCCTTTTCCAGGACTATTCTTTCAATGTTGTATGTTTATCAGATTTGATAATTAAAGATCAATGTTAAAATGGAAGTTTATTTTCAGAATATAATTAAACATAGTACTAAAACCAGCAAGGACTGGGAATGTGGCCTAGTGGTAGAGTGCTTGCCTGGTATGCATGAAGCCCTGGGTTTGATTCCTCAGTATCACATACACAGAAAAGGCCATAAGTGGCACTGTGGCTCAAGTAGTAGAGTGCTAGCCTTGAACAAAAGAAGCTCAGGGACAATGCTCAGGCCCTGAGTTCAAGCCCCAGGCCTGGCCAAAAAAAAAAAAAGCCCAAAACACCAGCAAGATATGTGAACAGAAACACAAACATACCTAAGTTACTTTTCTCATCATTCCAAAATATACCATTAGGCAATCAATTAAACAATCACATTCATTCAACAAGTACTTGTCAAGCATGTATCCAGGGACAAGTATTACTTTAGGAATTTCAGGTAAGACCATTCTACTCTCATGAAACCTAAAAGTCTTAGGGGAAGATAGGTAATAAATATCTACACAGGGACAACAGCACAGCAGACAAAGCTTCGTGGCTCTTTCACGTTTCTGTGCATCTTGCAGGAAGAGGCAACAGAAACTTTGTTCTCTTTTCAGGGTTGCTTGTATAGTGAACAGCCTTGGGTGAAACAAGAACAAAGAAAGTCTTGCTCAGTGTCTTACTACTCATAATTGTTTAACAGCATGGTATTCCCTGAATGTAAAGTTCCTCAGTTTTAATATAAACCACTAGGTGTCTCTTGTTCTCTTTAGGAGTAGTGAACAGATGGAAATGCTGATACTTGTGCTGTTCCTTTCTCTTCCTGATACTCTGTGTGGAAAAAAGACTGAGTTAGCAGAAAGAGTGGAGAAGGAGTTCCCTAGTCCATCCAGTGAAGGCTTTTATAAAGGCTGTTAGATGCTCAGGAAGTGCAATCCAGTTGAGAGCTCCCAATGGGGACAGAGTCATGGTCAACTACTACAGTACCTCAGGTAAGCTTGGAAACCCTCCCCCATCCTCTCTCCTTTCCTTTCCCTTTCCTTCCTCCCTCTCTCTCCCCCTTTCCCTCCCTCCCTTCTCTCACTCTTTGTTCTTTGTTCTCTCTTCTCACTTTACTTTCTGGCGTTTGGGCGGTAGTACTAGAGTTTAACCTTGAGCTGGAAGGCCATCACTACTTCTTGAGCCACATACCAGGTACACTAGGAACTTTTCCTAAAAGAATTTGTAAACTGTTAGAAGGTTAGCAGGAATCTCCAATTATACTTCTTTGCAATATCCATTAGATATTAAATAAAGGAGAAAGAAATGTTTTCCTTAGGGACAGGTGTAGCTCAGTGGAAGAGAGCTTGCCTTGCATACACAAGGCCTTGGATCTGATTCCTGGCACCATGAAAAGCATAAAACTAAAACTAGAAATATTTTTCCATATGGACACACCAGCCATGAAGACTTTGCAGGATAACACAAACAAAACTCCAACTGGGACAAATATGTCTAAAGTAAATCCCAACATCATTCATGCCTATTACAGATAATGCTCCTTATATGTTGAGATAAAAATATTTACATGATTACATCACTTTCTCTTCAATGTCCTTCAAAATTCCTAGTCTTTTTAATGTTAATATCTTATTTAAAAAACTTTATATCACATTTTATTAAATTATACTAAACAGCAAGGTATTTATTTGGTCAGCAGTATTTTCGTTATGGGAATCTTATTGAAAACCAATATTTAGGATGTGATAAGTAGCATGGGGGCAAGAGGCATGAACATGTGGCATAATAAATATAATTTCCCATTCCAAATACAATGTGGATCTAAGGGTAGTGGTTGGAAGCCAGCCTGGGCAGGAAGGTCCATAAGACTTATATACCAGAAGACTTATATACCAGTGCAGACCACTAGCTTTGAGCAAAAAAGGTCAGGGACAGCACCCAGGCCCTAAGTACAAGCTCTAGGACCTGTATACATGAGCATGCGTGCATACACACACACACCTTAAAATTCCCAGTGTCTTTTTAGTTTCAAATAAATACCTATTATGAGAGTAAGGGTGGAAAACACTCCCCACTCCCAAGCCCTCTAAGCAAATAAACTCAGGAATAGCACCCAGGCCCTGAGTTCATGCCACAGGACTAGCACCAAAAGAAAAAGTAAATGGATGTTTTTCTTAAAGAAATATATAGGTATGGTTAGTATATTCAAATATGAATACTTTTTTGTTTTTATTGCAGTGCTGGGAATTGAACCCAAGGTCTCACACCTGCTATGCATGTACTCTACCACTGAGCCACATTTTTTTTTAAATAAATGACATTTACTTGGGTCATTATAAGATCATTTACTGACATTTATAGCCGACTGCAAACTATAGCATTCAGAAGAAACTACAAGCCTCTTTTTATCCCCATTTTTGGGGGACTGGAGGGAGTGAGGTTTAAGCCACACCTCCAGCCATGCTTTATTTTTTTATTTTATTTTTTATTTTTTTATTGGGTCTGGTCGTGGGGCCTGAACTCTGGGCCTGGGTGCTGTCCCTCAGCTCTTCAGCTCAAGGCTAGCGCTCCACCACTTGAGCCATAGCGCCACTTCTGTTTTTTTTTCTTTTTTTTTGCTTATGTGGTGCTGAGGAATAGAACCCAGGGCCTCAGGCATGCAAGGCAAGCGCTCTACCACTGACCCAACTTCCCAGCCCCTCCAGCCATGTTTTAATTGGTTGTGTCCATGTGTACATGCGTGCATACATGCATACATATGCGCAAATGTGTATGTGCATGCTGAACTCGGATTCCTGCTCTTTCTCACAGCTTTCTGTTTGACATTCTAACACTTGAGCAACACCTCCAGCCCAGCATTTTGCTGGTTAAGTAGAGATAGTCATGAACAATTCTGTTTGGGATGGCTTCAAAACATACCCTTCAAGACTGAGATCAGTCTCCTGATCCTGAGTCACTAGGGTTACAGCTCTGAGCCATCGGTGCTCAGCCTCACTGGCTATGTTTATGAAGGGGTCTTTCCTCCTGGATGAGCACCTACACCATTATGTTTGAGAGGGGTCTCTCTTCTAGCCTAGATGAGCAGTTGGACCATTATACACCACTTTTAGGCTTCCTGTAGTTGTTTGGATCTGCTACTCCATCTAGCTTCCCTCAGTTGAGATGGGAGTCTTGTGGATTTTTTTTGTCCTAGCTGGCCTTGAACCTCAACCTTCCCAATCACAGACCACATGTAGGTTAAGATAGCAGGTTTGTGCCACTGTGCCCAGTTATGGGTTGAGAAGGGGTTCTGAAAACTTTTTTGCCTGGTCTGACCTCAAACCACAATTCTCCCACTGTTAACCTCCCAAGAGGCAGGATTACAGGTATGATCCACTGAACCTGCTTTTTCTGTTCATGATTGATGACACATTATGCTAACAAGGGCCAAGAAAAGGTAGAATTCTTACAGGATAAACAGTGGGATTATTCATGACAGAAATTCTCTTCTCTATGCTTCTTTCATGCAAACTAGCTTGCAAGAGAGGAGGATAAAGAGATTTGTGGAAATTCATCTATAACCCAGTCTAAATAGGCATTGAGAGCAAAGGGTCCATATGTAGAAAGGGAATGCACTGCTTGGAATTTCCAACCATGTGGGATTCTCAATTACCATGGTTGGCTAACAACCAGGTTGGATTTCACAAACAGTAAGACAGATCTTTTGAAGTAGAAGGATTGACCTTAAAAGATATTCCAGTTTAGTCCCATTACTTTACAAAAAAATATTTTTTTTGAGGACTTAGAATGACACGGGTATGCATTGTATTCTGTTCTAATTATCCACTGCTCCATAACAAACCATCCAAAACATGTAGTGCTTAAAACAGCAGCCATCATGTATTAGCTCTCCTCGCTGTCGGCTCAGCGAGGGTTCCTCAGGCAGTTAAGGCTAACTGGTTGCGGCTTCTTCATTCATGTCTGGTAGGTGGGACCCCAGCTAGGCTATCAGTCCTGTGTGTACTCTTGGCCTCTCCACGTCTGGAGACAATGAGGAAATCTTGTTGCAACCATTTTGGAACACCCAATTTTCATAGACATACTTCCTACGTGTTTCTGAGGACTCTTTGTAAAGTCCTAACATGGTACTTATGCTACCCTGTAAGGCTGTCTACCTAGTTATGGTCTAGTTCTTCCATTATTCTGTGACCTACTTTACAGGAATATTTAGATAATTTTAAGCAGTTCTGGAATTTAGGAGACATATAAATTGTTTTCACTTGTTGTGTCAATGAAGAATTGAAATGAGACTTTAGGTCAGACATTATTTTAAGAATGTTTCTATACACACACATACATATGGACAAAAAATATGGAAAGTAAGTATTAAATTCATGAAGGAAAGGGCAAAGATAAAACGTTTCTCTTAGAGAAGAGCTTATTTTTTGGTGTGCGTGTCTTACCAGTACTGGGGCTCAAACTCAGGGCACTCTCCCTTGGCATTCTGCTCAAGGCTAACACTCTACCAAGTGAGCCATATCTCTACTTTCTCATATTTTTAAATTTTTTATTGTTTTTATAAAGGTGATTCAGAGAGGGGTTACACTTACAGTAAGGCAAACAAAGAGTGCTATCTACTAAAGCTGCCAAGATGGGTTAACTCAAGACTATTAGCTTTTAGAACTGTGCCTTTTGTTTTTGTCAGTTGTGGGGCTTGAACACTGGGTCTAGGTGCTGTCCCTTAGCTCTTCAGCTCAAGTCTAGCACTCTACCACTTGAGCGACAGAGCCACTTCCGGTTTTCGGGTGGTTTATTGGAGATAGGAGTCTCACAGACTTTCCTACCTGAGCTAGCTTTGAACCCTGTTCCTCAGATCTCAGCCTAGGATTACAAGCTAGGATTACAAGCTAGGATTACAAGCATGAGCCACCAGAGCCTGGCTTGACTTTTATGTTTCACTAATAAATGTATTCTCAGATTTGATCAGCTTATCTTCAAGTAAGCACATGCAACTAACTTAAACATATATAATAACTCAAAATGTATCAATATAATCAAAATAACTCATGGTTTTTTTTTTTTGTCGGCCGTGGGGCTTGAACTCTGGGCCTGGGTGCTGTCCCTCAGCTCTTCAGCTCAAGGCGAGCACTCTACCACTTGAGCAACAGCG